AGACGTCGATAAATACAGCACTGGTATGACAGTGCTTTTCGAATAAAGTAGGTACCTACTTATATGCTCTGTTGTATGAAAAGCTGTTGTACTGTTGAGTGGTTAGATTTAAACCCAAATTGGAATTTCGGGATAAGATCTGCTCTGTACAAATAAGTTTTGCAATCTTGTATAAAGTTTTTGTTCAATTTATATAAAATCATGTAAGAACATAAACATTTTTAAATACATTTTCAAATTCAAGTTTTGGATTTAGAAACATTAAAAATCCTAAAATGCTCTAAAAATTAATAAAATTAACTTAAAATCTAGACTTGTTAATATAAAGTGCGAATTAAAACTTCTTATTCTGATTAAAAAACACGCGAAACGTGTATGGTATAGAACGAGATAGATTAGAAAACAATTCAAAGTGCATCGGAATCTCGGCCAAATTATTATTTATACCAACTATGAATTTTCACCAACTCAATGGGAACTCTTGAACGGGCTAACGACGTGGTCATTTCATCGGGACATAAAAATTAAATCTCAGTCGCACTAGACGTCTTAGCAAAAAAAAAAAAAAAATGAAAGATGGACTTCATAATACCTACAATGATTATAAACAATAGATTGAGTTTAATTGTTTGATTTATTATTTTTGAACATCATTAGTGAATCATTAGGCAAATAATATTATGACGTTCTGTGCAATTTAACGACCTCACGTTTATAAAAACTCACATCATCTCACCCCGGATTCCTGATCACGCCACTGGCGTGCGTGTATTTTTGGAACGTGCCGTATGCTACGCATGCACTGCAACGCGCGTCGCAAGCACACACTCGACGCCGCTCGAAAATAGTAATAATAATAATAATAATAATAATAATAATAATAATAATTAACAATATAATACCTACGTTCGTGCGAGTTTGTGCGTACAACCGACGTCGGACGTAGTGCCCGCAGAGCCGTGCGTTCAGTAACAGCTGACCCGTCGTCGGCAACGTGCGCGCGTCTCGTTTCGGTCCCGGGCCACAAGTGCGGCGTCTCGACCGACGAATAGAGTACCTACCCGCGTCGCGACGTTCGTGTTTTTATGATTATATTTTTTTTTTATCGCTGTACCGATAAATAATAATATTATCGTTATCGTACCGCAGTGTAGTAATAGTGTTGCGCGGTTAGTCACCGCGGTCGTAATAACGCATTGTTATCTCGTAGTGTTCGACGACGTTCAGTTGCGGTGCGGTGTGGTGTCATTCGCTGCAGACAACGGCGCGGCCGGTCGCGATGAGCGCTAAAAATACGAGTTTCGTCACCGACGTCGACTTGCACCTGAAAATATCCAATTACGAGGAGACGGTCAAGCACTTGGACATCTACTACGGCATAGGTCAGACATATGACCCTCTCCCCCCTCTCCCCCCGGGCCCACAGACGATCCGTTGTGCCACAAGTCAAATGTCGATATCGAATCGTATAATATATGCCTTGATGATGCTTGTGTATAAAAATGTATAACATTGATAGTTTTTTTTTTTCATTTAAATTATATAATATTATTGTCCAGTTTTATAAGAAATTCGTTTTTCAAACGGTCGGCCATAGAGCTGTACAGATAAACTATCACAACTTGTACGCAGTAATTGCAGCACAGCCGTTCTAAGAATATTATTTCTAAGGCAGCCACTATCGTGTAGGCTTCGCAGCTTTCGATCAACCTGTTGATGAAAATATTGTAATTTGTGCGTCATACGTCGTCGTCTCCTTACGATCGTTATGACTTATAATATTATTGTTGGTTCCTAGAATCACTATTTAGGGTCGAAATAACGTACCTATCGGATTTTTCCGGCCGGTCGTCGTGTTCCTCCCAACTCTATAATATAAAAAACTGAACGGCAAAATACGGTCGTCTGTTTGGATTGTTAGTAAATATTTTTGTTAAAATCGAGATATCGAATTTCTGTGTTAAAGAGGGGGTCCTCTGTGACTCTGTCTCTTATGGCCCTAGGACCACCAAGTTTCTCGCCTACGATGCAACACATTTTCGTTCACTTGTTGTATTTGTAATAAAATAATCATAGCGTATTGGGCGAATATATATTTTGTTGGTTCGGATTTGCAGTTTGCATTCACTACATATCTTATACATCTTCATATTATGTTAACTTTATTATAACCATAAAACATGACGTGTGCTTGGCTTCTACGACTTCCGAGTCCGGAGCCTCGTACACGTAGGTAGGTACGGACAAAATATTGATAGCATTGAATACCTACTCACTGCTTGGATATTATTTATTTATTTATATTAAATACGGGACGAGCCCAATAACATTGTTTTGCATATTAAATAATAATTGACATGAAAATAACAAAAAATCTAAGAACGAACAGACAATAATTACACTCAGTAATTGAGGGTCCTCGTTGGCCGGTATCGTCATACGGACAATAGGGCGATTAGTTCAATAATTAAGGGAAAGAGGATCTGGAACAAAAAGTGGGAACTCTGAAATTAACTTTAGATAGGGGCAGTTGCATTAACTTCACCATTAATAAGTTGTAGAAAGAATCGTTATTTTGCCCTGATTATGATGTATAAATAAATATATATATATATATACGGATACAAAATAATAACATTTGAGTCCTAGTTATGACGATCGCTCCGTATATACGCGTATCGTATATTATGTAATGGTTTTTATAATCTAAGTATAATAATATTACTGTCGATAACGAATGATTTATATTATAACTGGATACAACACACGTGCGTTGTGAGTTGTAAGTTATGACACTTAATCACTCTCTCATATCTATTTATCATTACGTAATAAATGTAGTATGGAAATATATTATTTGATGGGTATACGATAAACTCGATAAAGAGTACTGTAGTGTCTATCTACCCATAGTACTATTACTACTATTAGTGCATGGCAGTGTTTCCCAAACTTTTTAACACCACGGAACACTTTGAAAACTTTAGTTAGGTACTTAGGTGTGTCTCGGACCCACGATGTAGATAATGCAGTGTAGTCACTCGGTGTCGAAAAGAGAGTCATAATTTGACGGCATTTAGTGCGGGATTGGTCAGAAAAGAGCACTAAGAAGGCCGATATTTCAAAAAATACTGTGTAGCGGTATCTATATAGGTACATTTAAACCTTAGGAACGAGTGTAGTTTTTTGGATTTTTTTTTTCAAGTGTTAGTATTTTTATGCTTAACGCGTTGGTGTAATCAGAATTTACTTATCCTTACTTACTTTTTGTATTGTTAATACACCGCGTAAAACCTACGTTGTAATTTTCAAGTGGCTTATTTACAATAAAAGAAAAGTAAGTAAAATCACTAACAACTTGAGCATAAAAATACCAACTTTTCCTAAAAAGAAAATTCCAAAAAATGTAAATTCTTAATATTTTAAGCTAAAAAACACGATGTTTCCAAAAATACTCTGAACAAACGGATAATATGTAATGTGTATTTGATTAACAATTTTTGTAATTAATATGATTAATTAAATCATCATTATTACAGATAATAGATCTAATTTTGCTGAGAAGGTACACAAAAATATCGCGATTAAAGTTATCTACTCAGTGCGCTCGGACCACATCGATTTTTTGTAGATCTCATTTTTCGCTCATAAACAATGATCACCTTTTTCTTCCATAGATTTAAGTTTTTGGAAAAATTAAAACAATGTCATTTCTATAATAACAAAGTATACCATTTTTGTTTTGTTCATTAAATTATTTTTAATCACTTTTTGTTCATAATTTATAACTAATGATAACCTACGATTATTGAGCTCGCTTTCCTTTGAAAGTTTCATAGCTTTGGCACAGAGCTACGGCATACCTACCGTCACAATTTTGTCTGTCATCACCTTTTGAGGCAGTCAAAGTACTTCGATTTTCTTCAACTGTATATTTTCTGCTCGGAAAGCGAATATAGTTGGTACTTTTTTTTTTTTTTTGGGGGGGGGGGGGGTCAAAAGTAAAATGTTCAATAGTTTTTAAAAGCGACTAGAAATACTTACAAACAATTATAATCCTAGCCTAGGATTCAAAAAAAGAGTGCATGATATAAAGTACATTTGCTTCAAAGTTTAGTTTTGACGTTAAACTCTATAAGCCCGTATAGCTTGTTGTATGTTGAACTGTGTAATACTAGTAAATGTAATATAATATTAAACTATATCGATTATAGATTGTGCCATTTTAATTGCCGCATGTTATTATTTAATTATAATATAGGCGCCTGGATTTTAAGATACGAATATTGAATTTATCGAGAATATTATATTCCAAGAAAACACCGACCTGTGCTATTTTTACGATAGGTCATTTTGTCCAAAAAATCTTTTTTCTTGCTGTTACGACTCAAAAAATTTGATAAATAAGACAATTATATATTAATAATACCTATATAGACTATATAATTACTATAGTTTATCGGTTACTTACATACCAATGATTAAAAACTACCGAGATAAATAATAATTTATGATTTGTGATTGCGCTATATTATAATTTCATATAATATACAATAATTCATCGTATAAAGTAATATGGATGAAAGTAAATATTGCCAATATTATTATACTCTACTTATCTAATATTGTTACGGTTTTTATACGGTGGCGGTAGTCATACATATATATAAATTGTAAAATAGTTGATTTTAGTGTACCTAGACAAAAGGTTAGTGGCAGCTAATAGATCACTAATTAGTACTCAATAAAATTGATAATGAGAATAAAGTGCAGAAGACTGCGTCTTGTATTATTATATAATACCTAATATAAATCGTAAAAACTCTTTTTTCTATCCGTCGACTCTACACGAAGATTATGATAACAGTAGTTTATTAATTAGGTATTATAACTATTGTTAATAATATAATATTATTTTCGTTTATTCGGAGTTAGTGATATAAAGGGGGAGGGTAACACTCCCCTAGAATATTGGCAATAGTAATTTCTAGTCGGCATTTTATAGTAATTCTTAAGACGCATAATATCTAAAATTTTAATTTTTTTAAAAATTTTTTTTCCTGAACCAACGATTGTAATGGCTACTAAGTGATAAAAATGTATTATTGGCAGATATTATTCGGATGTGATGCTAATAATATATTAATACACGGAAAACTGGAATAATCATCAGTACCTAATAATAATTTTAGTATTATTAATGTATGATGATATAAGAAACACGAATTAAAATTTTGGTATTTATTAATACATTAATAATCATTATCAAATTATATTATAATGGAAGCCGTCAATACTCTATAAGCCAATTATATATTAACATTTCATTTATTCATAAATTCCTAAAATATATATAGAATACGCACCATATAGACCATATACTACTAGATAATAACTGTTTATAAAAATATCATTACGAGCTGCTTAACAACATCTCGGAGTGATGTATGCTATCTTTAAGAAAAAATACAATAATCTACATATCTTTTTATCTTATCCTGCTACTATGCACTAGTGCACTATACTGTTCGTACGATTAATCGAGTAATCAAAAAGCGTCCTCTATGCTGTTACTCTTTCCATATACTTATTTATTGTCTAGTAGTATAATAGATTGATGCCCTAAAAAAAATAAACAAATTATTGGAAATTCGGCTCATTTTATTCCCCCGCTTTCTTAGCGGTTTGCTTTTGTCGTATTTCGTTTTTGTCACCTATTACAACAGATAGGTACCAGCGAACGGGCTTTTCAGTAATCTGAAACTTATCAAACGTAACTTACCTATGTTCCACAGTGACTTCGGAGTCGGACCGACTTAGAAGATGTCAGCACATTTTTTTCTCTCTCTGACTCACGCTCATCGTGGCAAATTTTACATTCGCAATAATGACTTTTTTTAGTCATTTTTTTAAGATGTACAAATAATTTTTCAATTTTAAAATACTAATTACATTTTTGAAAACTATTGCAATTTTTGTACTTTTAGCTCCCCCCCTCAAAGTATTATCTACATTCACTTTCCAATATTGAAAAACACACATCATTGTTAAATAAATACATTTATCACTTCACTCAAATTTAAAAATTTAAATTAGTTGAAATATTTTGGGTGATTCTAGTAATTCCTCGTACAAAAGATACTTTCGGTAATTCGTAATATTCAATTATATGTACGATACCATGCGATAGTCATGCGATACCATGCGATCGTTGATCATGGTAGTATTATGTGAATATTATCATAATTTTTATTGTTTATTTAATATAAAATAAACACTAAAACTATAAGATATTTTTTACACAGAATCTTCTAAAATATTTCATTTAATATTAAATTATTAATTTTAAAATTTTTCTTCAAATATTTTAATATTGATGACTTATTACCCCCGTGTATTATAATTTATAATAAATAATTTATGTTGATATTGTGTTTTAATTTTTTAATTTTTACTACCGATATATTTATTGACTGATTGAGGAAAATGTCTCATTGTTTATAAAAAGTTCAAAAAGATTCAAAATAATTTGACAATTTTACTATGCATGAAACATGGTGATTTTAACATTTGGTGAAAGTTTTTTTTATTGATTATGGTAGAAAAATTTGTGTTGAATCTTAAATTAAAATTTTTAATGTTAGCAATGGAAAGAAAATAGTTAACGAATTCTAACATAAAAATAATTTGAAAATGTTCGACATTTTGATAAATTTTGTCAAAACTTGAACTATAAATGCATATAAAAATATTTGAGCCAATGTATCTTTAATATTTTTGAACAAAACTTATGAGAAACAATGCATTATATTTTTAAATGTTTTTATTGAGTAAAAAAGTCTTTGTCTAGAATAATTAAAAAAAATTTGAAAAATTTCTTATGACTACAAAATATAAATAGCAAAAAACAAGGCAAAATATTTTGAAAATGTTCAATACCCAACCCAAATGTTGAATATTCACCCGTAAACTAACAAATTCTCATGCAACGATTTTCTTATTTTGTTGTTACTAAAAATATAAACATAGGTAATTACTTAAAAATGTCCATCACATTTCTATTAAATCATTTTTTCTTTACGTGATTAAATATTTAAAAAAAAATTTTACTCGTTTTAAATCATTTATAGCTATTTGAAATTGGAAATTTATTTCAGTTTTTTAGTGTATACATTTTAATGAAATAATATTCGTTGGGTAAAAAAACATGACAATTTAATAGAAGGTTCCTCGTGCCTCGTAAGTAGTTATAATAGCAGTTGAGATATGTTAAAGATCTAAGTATTTAAAGTTCAAATTTAAAAAAAATTAACATTTCAACAAATTTAAACATTTTAAAATTATTTTGTAGTTTAAAAAATACAAAATGTTAAATTTTTTATAGCTATAAGAATTGAAAATGTTAAACAAGGATTCTCATAAATATAGTCTATACCTACTATTATCAATGAATCAAAAAAGTATATAGGTAATCAGTTATTTTTAATAGACATTTTAAGTTAAAATTTCTAGTAAATCACATTTTAAAATCAAGAATGACGATTTTAGTTATTTTATTGTAATTTTATAATATTATTTTTGGGCACTTGAGATACTTGGTATACTTAGACTTTTAGAGGATATTGTTATATTATTTAATACACACAATGACAAAACAAAAAATTCATTTGAAAATGTCATTGTGTGTATAAAATATAGCTATGTAGGTACTCTAAAAGTCTCAAGTAACCACACACAATATTTAATGACAATACAATAACCAAAATCGTCATTCTTCCAGGTTATAATATATAATTTGAATTTAAATGTCTATATAACATTGTTGTACTTTAAGCACACAATGACATTTTTCAATTGTAATTTTTGGGAAAAATACTTAAATACTAAATATTAAGGCCTAATGTGTAATAAAATACTTTAATCGCAATAACATCATCAAATATTTTAATAGACTGCGTCTTCGTTCAGAAACATTTTTTGTGTTCAATGATAGTATATCATTAAATTCAAATTTAACATATCCATTACAATAACTCTCTAGACACCTAATGTATAGCAAAAAATCATTTTAATTTGTAATATTATTCATAACTTATAGTTGTCTAATGTTTAGTGCATGGTTTTGTGCCTTTAATACAAACAATTATAAAATCAATTCATTGATTGCTTGGCTAAAAATCTAAAAGTCAACAAGTAAAGTACACGTAAAGTGGTTTGAATAGGTTTGTCAGTTCAAACATTTTGAAAATTTCATTTGGCTTATTAAATAATAATGCAAGTAGGTACATTGAAATGTTCTAAGTATCCATTTTAATATTTTTGAAACACAAATACACAACAAAATAACTAAAATCTTAATAAAAAAAAAAAAAATGTTTATGTGTTTTCAAAATTTCGAAATTGCTATAATATATATGTACAACTTATGGAAAATAGCACTTCGTGATAAAAATTGTTTCCATTTTTTACTTTAAAGTAGTTTACTAATTTTCTAATTTTACCAAAATGGTATAACATTTGTATTTAAATAAGTACTTTAAAAACACGGGCATTACAAAAAATCTTATATTACAATTTCAGGTTTTGAAAATTGTAACAAAATAGAAAGAAAAAACTTTACTCCATTTTTTGAGTTAGGTATAACTTAGAAGTTGGCGTAATATTTTATGTCAATCTTGTATTAGAGCTTATGAAATATTAATTTTGTTCCATATAATTACATGGGTATAGTATCTATTCAGATCCCGCAAAATTCAAAGTATTAATAAGGCCTGCTCATAATGGCGTTAAAAATACATAAATAATAATAAAATAAAATAATTTTATTTTCAGTGAAAAGGCAACTTTTGAGATATCAAAGTGCAATAACCGGTCTATTTCCAGTATTGTCGGATGACGAAAAAGTGGCCAGCGTTAGAGATAGCGTTTATTGTGCTGCTGCAATTTGGAGTTTATTTCAAGCGTACAGGTAATATTTTTTTTCAATATTTTATTTAGGACGTAGGTATCATGAAGCAAAATATTTTTATGTTTGGTAATAAGTAGAGCTCGGATGTTGTAGGAGCTAAAAAGGCAAAATATGCATGCATATATGCACGAAAAATTGCAAAATATGAATTAAAAATGTTAAATATACAAAAAAATTATTCTAAATTCCAAAAATAAAATACATCAGATGTTGCTAATAAATTAATAATATACATAAGAACTATTTATAACTGAAAAAAAAACTTTATCTGGTTAGTATTTTGACATATTATTGAGCTGAAAATAAAATTAATAATATTTTTTTCAGTATTTTTTAAATTACGAAAAAAATACATGTTTTCTAATACCTGTTAAGTTATTGCATTGAACCACCAATACTTTCTTAAGATTTTTAATTTCAATCGAACGACGATTATTCGATAGAAGATTTTCACATCGAGAAAAACTTCTTTCAACCTCAGTTCAACGATAACTTATCGACTATAAGATATAGTAAGTACTACAAATAAGTATTTCGGCATGCTAGCTTGATGGACTAAATGCATTTTATATCGCTGCAATGCTGTATTAACTTTGTAATTGACTATGTGGATGACAGTAAACACCTTTTTTGATAACTTTGTGTTTTATATGTAATTTAAATTTAAGTATATACAGGTTTAAGAGAGAAAAAAATCAATTTTTTTTAGAAAAACATGAAATATGCATAATATGCTTTTAAAATCAATGAAATATACACTTTTTTCGTTAAAATTGTCAAAGTATACAAAATATGCATATTTAACTTTCAATTTTTTAACTCGCCATTTTATATTTCAAATTTCTAGCTTGGTCTGCTATAAATTGAGAGCATACAGAGCAATTTGCAATTCCTACAACTTCCGAGCCCTAGACTAATAAGTAATAATGTATAGTTATTTTATATTTAGTTATGTCATATTGTACACCGTAAAATATTGTTTCCTATATTATTGGATGTATTAAGCGTATACAATATTAAAATAAAATCAAGTAAAATCTTAGGCTAATTAAGTTTTTCGTAACAAACAATGGGGCTAATTTAGAATACAGTCAATTTTATATTTTTTGTTGATTGCACATATTGTATGTATACAGGCGAATAGATGACGACAGAGGGAAATCTTATGAGTTGGGTCAGTCTGCGGTTAAATGCATGAGAGGAATATTGGCATGCTGGATCAGACAGGCGGATCTAATAGAATGTTTCAAAAAACATCAATGCAATAAATTTGCTTTACATTCAAAGTTTAATTTAACAAATGGTGATATTGTTCACTCCGGTGACGGATATCCTCATTTACAGGTAAAGAATATTGGATCTTGTTAATTTAAATTCATATTGTAATTTAAAGAGAACTATTTACTCTCTAGCGACTTAATAATGTATGTAAATATGCTTATACAATTATTTGTTCTATATTTTTAATTCATAAGAATAAGGTTCACATTTTACATAATATATTACACACATTTATTCATTTCCTTATTTATAAGTATCAATGATTAGTTAGTCTCGTTAAACTTGTAAATGTTCCTATACTATATTCATTATTCTAGTAGTCAACATGGGTGTATCTAATTATAAATCTCCTAAGAATACCGTTACATAATTTAAAAATTTTGTTTTGTTTATATTTTATATTATTATTGTTAAATATTATCATTATAATTTTTAGCAAATTACTAAATACAATTTATCACTTGATATGAGAAGATGATTTTTTTTTATGCGGAGTGGGAGGGGGTTCAGGACCACCCTCTTGTTGATCAATTGTAATATAATAAATATAAGTATAAGAATTAATCAATTTTGATAACATTTTCTTTTTAATTATAATATATTCTCACTTGAAGTTGTTTAAAAATACAATATTTGATCAAAGTATACTTTTAAGCTGTAAATAAAGCAAAATATATCTACCTAAGAAATTAATATTTTTAAATAAATAATACATTATTGATACATATTATTATATGGGTATTGGGTAGTATTGCTTACATAGTATAGATCCAACTTAAATTTAAACTTATTATTAACGTTTAATTATTATATTGGATGGTGAGTGAATTGTTTTTAGTAATTTTTTAGGTATATTCTTTGATAATAATGTTTTCGATAAAAATTATACAATAAATACAATAAATCTAATAAATTCTTTACAATATGCCTTTTTGGTATAAAATTGTGGTAGAAAGGTTATAGGCTAGCACTCTAGCAGGTTCTAGATAAAACAATTTATTTATGATTTTATGAAGAATGGATATCCCAAATTTGTAAATATTTCAAGCACATATTATTTAGGTAATATACTAATATGATGTAACTTTGTTCATGATTCGATTTATCAGATGATTTGATAGGCTAATCGAAGTGGTAACACATAAATAAATAAAATTAATCGATGAATATTTAGTAAATATTATGACACACAAAAATATATTAATAATTATAAAAATAATGAGTATCTACCATGTTGTCATTTGATACATCGTAACATTTTAACTTTCTGGAGTAATAAAATAATAAATGTACTTAATCGAGTTTCTAATGAAATACATTTCATCTGTAACCTAACTCGAATAACAATAGACTCTAAAACATTACATAAACCTTGTATACAGTACAGGATTGGGAAGAAATTACTTGCCGGGCTGTCCTCCTAGATCGGCCCAAGTTCCTAAACAATTGTTTTCATCGTTCCTTATAGTTGTACACCTATTACATTATGTAAAATATGGGAGACTTGAAATGTCCCTAGGTCTCTATATTGTCTAATTTATATAAGTAATTTAAATTAATTATTTTTACACAGATTGATGCCGTATCGTTGTATCTCATATATTTGGTCCAAATGACCACATCAGGGCTGCAAATAATTTATACGAAAGACGAAGTTGCGTTTGTGCAAAATTTAGTTTACTATATAGAACGCGCCTACAGAACGCCAGATTACGCTATGTGGGAACGAGGTAGTTCGTATAATGACAACACGCCTGAAATTCATGCAAGGTTAGTATTCCTTGATTCCGTTAGGTTAAAGTCGTTATGATTTCTGACTCGTAGGTACTTTAATCGCATTGACAAAAATCTGCCGTAAATATAACACGTGGAGTTAATACTGAGATCTTGACCTACTACATAAGTAATTAGATTCACTTTCAGAACTAAAATCTACGAAAATACAAAAATATATAACAAAATTAAAAAATAATGAAAGTAAATTGTTTGGAGGACGTCGTACCCAAAGCTGTAGCAACGCTTCAGAGATGCCGGTATTTCCCACCTTGGCTGATTGGCGACGGTGGGACGTACATTTCCCCAACCCCGCCCATTCGATTTTTCAACTTTTTCCAACGCCAATATTTAGTGCTCCATTCCTGCCAATTCTTGTCGCGAATCCCAGAATAATTCCTGCTCAAAAAACACCCCCGCACTTAGTTTTTTGTTTATTGTGGGAACGCTCATTGAGCAGGAATTCTAGGATATGCGACAGGAGTTGGCAGGATTAGAGCACTAAATATTGGAGTTGGAAAAGTTGAAAAATCGAAATGGGTGGGGTTGGGGAAATGTACGTGATGGTGGGCCATACAACACTATGACACCGCGGGTTCTAGTCAGAAACTTACGCTCAACCACGATGTAGATAATACGGTGTAATCACGTTGATTATTCAGAGTTAAAATCAGAAAATCTTAAAATGTGAACTTGAGTATACACTATACATAATAATGAAATCAAATTAGTTTTTAAAAGTATTTCCGCATTACTATAGGTCGACAGTAGGATGGACAAAAACACATGAGCATAAATTGTTTACCGTTCACGGTAGCAACGTCCTATAGCACCACACACTAAATATGATATGGCTTACATGGAAAAAATTTCAGTGGGATTTATGTTCCCATATAGTTTTAAGCGTTCATCATTGACCTTTATACGTTTTAGGTACTATGTGTTTGTGTTAATTATCTATTTTTTTTTTTTTGTTAGCTAAAAGTTTTATTTTAAATGTAACGTTAAGTAGTTTAGGTAAATACAACGTCAAATGATATTAATTATTCGACTTTTTTAAAACAAAAAACAACAAATAATAATGTTTATTTTTTAAAATTTAAATCAATGTCTTAAACACTTTTTAGCAATAAGTCATATGTGTATCATAATGATATATTTAATTTGTATTTTAATTAATTTTACCAAGGAGTTTTTTATTAAGGACTTGCGTGAGTGACAGTGTAAAACAAGGCTGCTCAAATCCTAGGAAACGTCAAAGCATTTGAGTCTGCCCGCCAATAATTTATTGTATTTTAATTTATTATTATCTTCTTAATTTTTGTGTTAAAAAAAATTTAACAATTACAATTTTAATAAAACTACTACACAATGAACTAATTAAGATATTTATTTATATTTCATGGTATTCATTTGAGTAGTTTTTTTTCGTTCAAACAAAGGTGAACCTTACAATTAATAGGCGTAGCGTGATGACTGATGGATTTATATGAGGAGGCAGTGTTTGTGATAATGTTTCTGGTAGACGACATGTGTTCTAAAAATGTTTTAGAAAAAAATGTACGAGGAGCACTAAACAAAATTTGGAGTGGGCTTTACCCTCTATCTTAGCTCCCCAGAATTAGGTCTGCCATTCTACACCTTTATAATGTATGCTCTTAGAATATGGACGAGACTATTGGTTTTGAGATGCATACTTAACATCGCCTGCGTCGTCCACATCGTCACTGTAATTTTTGACGGGACTTCAAAGTCCCGATTAGTAAATAGCATTTAATATCAAACTTCCCTAGTGCATTTAAAGTTATAGAAAAAAAATCATTTGTAATATATTAATTGCATATAAAAAGGTACTTTATATAAAAAATAACTTTCATGCCTCTCTAAATTAATTGAAACAACATAATATAATAATATTGAAAAAACCAACAACTACACGTCTGTTTACGAAAAGAAGTTATCAAAACACGTGATTGTTACTATGACAAGTATTGACAACTGGCATTTTTCTTCCATAATAATTTTTCCTGTTAAAATACGGGACATTGAAGTCCCGCCGGACTATAACAATTGTGGTATACCGTAATATTATGTGGTTTTATACGGTTTTTTTTTGGCTGGGGCTTAATGATTTGACAAATACATAAACTTATTATGAAAATGTAAATTTCTTATTTTCTCGACTTAACTGTTGTCGTACCTGAATTAAATTCCTAAGTGATTTCTTTTGATCCGTTAAATGTTTTTGAATATAATCGGAAAATAATAAAATACCACAGCGGGCTATAGGCTATAAACACCTTGGTGTTTCTTTTTTATATTAAACTTAAATTTTTTAGTCACATCAATAAGATTTTAATAATTAATAAAAATTGTGATGACTTTGATTATAAACTTGCTCTATATATTAATGTTTCATACGGTCTATTTGTGAATATGGCTCAATAATATTGTTGACTCCCAACCAACTTGGTCTTGAGTGAATACCAAAAAAAATCCAGCAAAAGTTCTTAAGGTTTCTCTCATTTAAATGTTTTAGAGCTAGGAAACCACATTTTTTCACTTTTATACTCTCCTCATTTATGAGTTCTTAACCTCGAAAAACAAGGAAAACTTCGTTCGGGATTCATTTTATAATTTTTGTAAGGGGTTTTGCCGGAAATATTGACTGTCCCTAGTTCTTTAATCGTTTTTCCTTCTATACTCTTACTTGTAGTACTAAGCACAAAAATACATTTTATCTTAACACAGAAGTAACTAATTATGCAAGCAAATATGCTCCACATTAGAATTACGAAAACCAAAAACGTTTTACCTTACGAATAAAGCTTACATTATAATGTAATTGTTTAGTTCCATCGGTATGGCAAAAAGTGCATTGGAATCTATTAACGGCTGCAATCTGTTTGGTGACAAAGGAGCGTCTTGGTCTGTAATATACGTAGATATCGACGCACACAACAGGAACAGAAGTATATTCGAAACCTTATTGCCTCGAGAGTCTAGTTCTAAAGTGAGTAATTGCTGCTTTTTGCACCCTCCAAATAATATTATGATATATTATTGACGGTACAATATTATGAAACGTGTAAATATACAAGTGATGATAGCTTATTGTATCCGATAAATAAATTTTTTGGCCAGACATATAATGAATTTACCCAAACCAATATTTTGTTGTAAAAACTAAAAACGCATAGACTGATTTTTGGTTTTTAACTGACATTATTCAAATACCAGGTATACGATATTTATGGACTGGTTGAACATTAAATCAGACGATATATTCTGTCTAAATTATTTTGTGTTATCAAATGCATGTAAAAGACAATGATGTAATAATTGTTTTGCTTGAAAAACAGATTTGTTTGCCATAATAAAGTATTAATTCAGTCAAACCGACACATAATTTACTTTTGTTGTATAAACTATAAAGTTAGGATCTAGTAACTATATAGTTTGTAGTTATTTCTAGTGAAGTTTTTAAAAACTATTTTTTCTCCAAAAATATTCGATACAACATCAGTATTCAAGACGAACGGTTTTATTGCGATATAGCTAATATCCAAAGCTAGATTCAAACGGAGTTAAAATTGGCGTTGCCTATGACCCAAGATAACTTAAGTCCGAAAATCAAAAAAACAATGATTACATTTAAATGGCAGCATTCCGGGTCTACTAAAATAGCATATAAATTGTTTTATCGGTTTGAATATATTTAGTTATCTCTATCATGATTACCATTTACTTATATTAACTAATTATCTTTTTAGGCTGTCGATTCGGCATTGATAACGACCGTGTCTTACCCTGCTTTCGCTACTCATGAGGACGTGTTGGTGTCGTATACCAAGGCCAACATCGTGAAGAAACTCAAAGGCCGCTACGGGTTCAAACGGTTTAAGAGGGATGGTTACAAATGTGCCATCGAGGACAAAAAGAGAAAGTTCTATAACGTCGGGGAAACCAAGGTCAGTGGTTATTGGCGAATCCACGCTTTACGTTAGGAATGTGTTCGATGACACTGCGTTTGCAATCGGTTATATTATATTACCTATGTCTTAGGATTTCGAAAATATAGAGAATGAATGGCCATTATTTTACCTATACATGATAATCGATGGAGTGTTCAAAAATTTGCCGCAACAGGTCGAGGAGTACAAAACGCTGCTGAAAGACGTTATGACCATCGACAGTTTCGGCGGTCTGTGTTCACACTATATTATTATACATTAATTATCGAATTGAGCAAATGGAAATTCCATTTGCCTATAAGCTTACGAACCATGTAAATCACTCCAGGTATATCGATAACGAAACATAGTTAGTCTACTGATATCGACATAAATAGTGACAATGAATCCAATAAGATAATATTGCAGGAAATTATTTTATGCGTTTTTCACTTTTTGTACCATATCCCTTTATACCCATTTATAGCCCTTCAGATCCCTTTTATGCCTTTCCTCCACTTACCCAAAGTTGATATGATAAAATATAGTATATATTTTTGATGAAATGTATAGTAAAGTTCCTTTGTTTAATTACGATGTTGACCACAGTCGACATATTATAACCAACTTGATTGTATGAGTATGATAAATTAATAAATAAATTAAAACTTATACGAATTATTTAAATTATAGTAACAAGCTATAGAATATAGATGATAGATCGGTAGAGTTCACACGCTTATGACTGGTTGGTGATGGAGTTTATATATTATATAGGTACTAGTTTTTCGATTATCTATATTCCCAGCGTATTACATACATATGATGACTTACCGTAGCGTATAGACTATAGAGTTACTCAGTGTATACTGCAGGAAGTTAATATGGACTAGTTCCTAGCACTAAATTGAACTTTGTGCAGTCATTGATTTTCTCAAAATTAAGTAGCTTACCCTCTATTGATTTTAAAGTTGTGTTATTGATGAGAGTGTAATTTTTTTCATATTTTTTTACACAAACAATTTGAAGCAAATAATATGAATACCTACCTGATGTCAAAATATATTATTTAATTTTTTATTTTACTTTTACTATATATTTTAATTCTAATTTAATATAAATATGAAATTTCATTAAATAAACTACATTTGTTTTAAATAATAAATACTTTTTAACAATCACAACAAAATATAAATTTAATTCATTTTTTGCTTATACAATTTGAGCATTGAATAAACAAACGAGATCATTCCTAGATCTGAGTATTTATGGAATTTAAAGTCACAAACATTTTGAATGTACCCTGTAGTAAACTGTTCACTACTTCATTGTCACCCTCCTTCAATTTATTTCAGATCCTTATGTGCCAATGTTCTATTACATCACCAAGGAGAACGTGGAATACGAAAGGGCGGACCCCGGCAGTCAGCTGAGGTCGGCTGGTCCCGAGTACGAGGAGAGCCAAGACCCACCGCTGTTTTTGTGGAACCAAGCATTATACGTTATCGCTCAGCTGCTCACTTCTAACCTGTTGCACATAAACGAACTCGACCCAATTCGTCGATACTTACCGTCCTACAACAGGCCCAAAAGGCCCGGACGTTATTCCGCGTTCCAGGTGAGGAATACAGGCTAAAATCATTTATGTATCATAATATGTGCGCTGTCAATTTGTTTCACGAAAAAATCCACGATCATCAGTGTCGTAGCTCGTAGCCAGGGAGGGGGGGTATTTACTCCCCTCACATTTCATTGCACCGGCTACGTCACTAATTCGATAGTATTATATATCATGGTTATACTATGTTGTACCTTTATGAAAACAATTACAAAAGCGATACCTTATCAATAGTTGTTATTTAATATTTATTTTGTTTCACATGTTTTCATAAACGAACCAGACAAGGCAGAGTTCTGTAAGTAAAACCAACATTTTGACAAAGCATGGTGTGATGATTTTGATGCATTATATATGTACCTCTTACTGTTCATTATTGAACTTATTAGAAACTAACACGATCCTCACGGTCTGCTGTGGCTACCATCATATTTTATAATATAATTTCCAGCGGTGGTAAACTCTCCTGCTAGTATACTCTCTCGGGTCGACATTATGTTTTTCTGAAAGAAATATGTAAACTCTCCGGAGTTGTTTTAAAATTGTGTCGCTAAATATTATAGACGATACAGATTACAAAAAAAAAAAAAAAATAGACACCTTAAGTTTGTTTTTAATTTTACCAATTGAATTATAATGTTAATTTGATTTGAAAATAATTTGAATAATTATTATTTTTATTAGGTATTTAATATAAACTTTAACTATTATAATTTTTTTTAATTAAATTTAATGTAAATATTAAAAAAAATTATGTTTATTTTATACTATTATAAACGTTAAATTATAATGTCTAGACAAAGTTATTACAGACCCGGGAGAGCTTATAATAATTATGTACCTCTCTTGTTCTTCAGGCACCTAGTACTTAAGTAATAAGTAGAGTTTACAGATTATTAAAATCAGAAGAGTTAACAGTCGCTTGGAATTTCAAGGGGTTTATTTTTATTTCATGACGTTTTTGTTCGACAAATGTTTTTTATTGCGAATTTTGAAATACTAGTCAAATTTACAATGTTATTTGTATTTCTTTTACATGGAAATTAAAATAAAATAAAAATCCTTATGATCGATGTACATATATTATCTAAAGTATACGTTATAATATAGGGACAGTACTTATTATTTATAATAAAACCTGCTTATCATTACTGTTTCTAAATAATTAGAAAGCTTGAGTGATTTATATTTTGTACATATCTTCAATAACTTTTCACAGCAATGCTCAATTTTTTGTATGTAAGAGTATAAGCATGTTATGCGTCATACAAATATGTAGTAATTAATTTTTTAAATAATGAAACTTTTGATTTCACAATTTTTGTGTGGATAAGTTTTTATTAATATTCGGTTGTCGAAAATGTCAATATTTATGTAAATATTTTACTAATAGAAGAGTTAATATTTATGTAAGAGAGTTAGAGGTATTTTGGGATCATAATTTATCACCAGTAATCAGTTTACTGGAAAATCAACTTCAATACTCATTCGTTTGAGAATATAAGGGAGGAAGTGAGTATAATACAAACTTCAAAATAATAACCTTCAATAAATAAAAAGATGAGTTCAATTGAGCACGAGCTGTGCAATGTGCATGTAGATTATTATAACAAATGTGAATCGGGTAAATAATTTCTTCTCACTAGTTATCTAGATACATAGTTTGAGTAATTCGTTCAAGATTTTTTATAAATTATTTAAATATATTTTTATGTTATTATTTTTAGTTTTTAGTTTTCAATCCGTAGATTGGTTTACAATTTAATGGTTTTTTCATGATTTCCTCACGGATGCTTCATCCTCGAGTTGTATGTATGAGTCGACTCTTGCAGCTTTTATTCTTTGATTAATACAATTTGTTCTGGGTTTTTTCGGTAATTCCCTTCTATCACATCTTCTAGTATAGTGTTATGGAGTTGTTCGCTGTGTCCCAGAGTTTGATCTATTATATAATGTGTATGCAATTAAGTCATTATTTATGTTATTTGTCTTGGTTTCAAGTTTTATTTTATTTTCAACAAATTATTTTAAAACAACAAATTCATGTTTAAATTGGGCAGTGCTATAAGCTTATGAACTATAATACGCTTATAGCAACATTATTAGCCTCAGAACAGTTGATTGGTTATTCAAGGTTATTTTTAAAAGTTTCGAGAGTTATAACCAGAAAAAGAATCTGAAAATTGCTTATATTTTTTTGTTTGATAAAGTGTCTGGAATAAAGTCAAGAAACGAGAAAAATAAATGATATTCGTATTTAATTTTATTCTGCATTTTGTAAATATTAAGATATTTAGTACCAACGACAGCTGGCAGGTAGTCGAGATTTTGAATTTCTTTCGGTGTCATCCTTTAATTTAAATATATATCTAAGATGTATCCTAATTCCTAATCGTATTCAGTTCCAGGATTTTTACTTAATATAAACAATATCAATTATTTTAGGTTTACTTTATCAAAGAATATCTGTTTGAAAAATATAAATAAAATTTACCTATCCAAATTACCGAATCATAACTCTTTCGTAATCTTGAGAAGAAAGGTTTATTCATTTTTAACGGGAGACCAGAGTTTTTGTCATAACTTGAATTAAAGTTTGGGTATGCCTATTTTGTTGTATTATCAACACGCTTTGGTTGAATTTTATTCCCAAATTTTTCACTGCTGGCTGCACTATAGCACTAAGTCACTATGCTGTGAAATATTTTGCACAGTATTGTACATATTTATATATCACCTATATTATATTTATTTAACCTTTTGATTATAATTAATGTTTATACACCTACAGGATGGTCCGTGTTATATTGTGAGATATTACAGTCCACTATGTATACCTGCACAATAATATTTTAAGCTCCTATAATATTTAATAGTTGTCTGAAAATTAAATTTAAATACATCAAATCTCTGAAATGTGCATTGCGCATATTTTCAATTTACTTGTTCGTATAAAAATTTAGCATAATTTGTCTATTAAAATATGAATTTAATACAGACAATTTATAAATAAACCGATAAACTATCCATTTTAATAATGATATTTTATTTTACTTTGCGTTTTTAGCACTGACTTAAAAATAATACCAACAAGTACAAATCATTTTAAAAACAAGTTACGTAAACTGCAAATTCTTTTAAATGTTTTTGCCTTCACCAACTGTCTTTGTACAACTCTTATGATTTAAATATATAGTATTCATATTAATTTTAGTGTATTCAATATACAAATATATTTATATTATTTAAGACATTCAGGACCCAGGTATATACTAATTTACATTGATTAATATTATCTTTGTCATATTGTACCTATTATGCATTTTTACCATATGAAACGACCAATAACAATTTGTTAAGATAATTTCAGAAATTTAGTCAATGCATTTAATAATTTGTTGATGAATACATCAAGTATTATTGTAACCATAATTTGTTACCTTTCTTTGCAATGCATATGCTTTTTTTCTCATTTCAATGATTCTAGGCTTTTTGGACGGAGAAACTTCTAACATTTCTTTAGAACCAATAGCTTTCCTTTTTTCTCTACATGCCAACACATTTTTCAATAATTTACATTTGCTACAATAAGTGTCTTTTGAACAATTTTGAATGGTGAGGAGACATTGTCTGTGCTGGAGAAAGCCTTTAGTTGATTTAGTGCACAAGTCTTTAGGAAAGTTTGGAAAAATATTTGCTATAGGACTACCATAACATAATCTTATTGATTCAAATTTTTTAATATTATTTGAAAAATCTTCAATGTTTTTTGCAACTTCAATACCTTGTTCTGTTATATCAATAAGTTTACCATTGACAGCATAAGACACTTGACCTTGTTTATTGACTTGTATACTTCTTTCAACAGTGGGTACTGAATTAGAGTTTGCAATAAAAATAACAAAACATATATCTGTATTTTCTACTGTCATAGGTAATTTCACCCATGGACTACATTGGAAGTTGGCTAACTTATGATACAAATTATCTAAAACATAAATATAAAATCAATCAAATTAACTATAGAGTATTATTTGTTAATTCCAATGATCCATTTAATCTCTCACATTTTGTTAATTTTAATGAATTTAAAAATTATGCAGGTATAGTGTACTAGGTATCTCAAATGTAAATTATTTTTGTATTCCAATTCTATTTTAATTTACCTATATCTGTTTGATGCATGTCATATTATTACTGTTTTTTATATTACATATTATGTTTAAATTAATGAATTCAACTCATTCACTTTCAAACATAATTGATTATGTAATGAGATTGCAATAAACTATCATTATTATTATTCATTAAATTATTTAAATTTAGGTAGTTTGTAAGTATATTTCATATATGAATATATACATAATATTATTGTTAAAATTTTACCTTCTATAAGATAAGATTCTTGTTTTATTGAACAATTATTAATGCAATCTTCAGAATTTTCATTACTAAATTTACTTATTGGTGTAATTGCATGACGAACAGCAGGCAACTTCCGATGTTTTTTTAGATTAGATAAATATGAAGGACCCGGGAAAATTGAAGGTATGGTTCCCTCTTTAAGCTTCCACTTAGTATATGGTACCTACAAAATTAAATTAATTTACAAAAAAAAAAAAAAATATATTATCATATAAATACCTTTACTGAACCAGATTCCCAATACTTTATGATATCTTCTTCCTTGAAATGTTTTTCACATACATATGAATTATCTTTAAGTATAAAATCTTTTCTAGGAATACACCTTTGCCATTCACTTCGTAACTTAGAATCTTTAGGAGCACCAAATTGGTGCACTTTTTCAATGTTACTTTTGTACCCAGATGTACAACCAACGATTATACATTTAACCATTGTCAAATGAAATATTAAAAATTAAAATTAAATAACATTAATATTAAATAATAGATCACGAAAAAAAATACAATGTTCATGACGTACAGACAACAGCAGTTATCATCTACTTGGCCGTTCGCGGTTTTTTATTGTTCGATGTTTACAAGTTTACGTCTCAAGAGTTGAATTACTTGGATACTGAATAGAGATAATAAATTGATAATAATGTAATCTAATAAAAATTATTTTGATTTATAATTTTAGTTATGTACAATTTGTTCGTAAAAATGTTTAATTCCGAAATATAAGTTAAAAACAACTATAAATACTATCTTCTATATGTTAAAATAGGGCCAAGTACACCTAGCGCTATTAGTTGCGTATGGTCGCCACCACGACATAGCCAATACACGGGTAGCATAGGCGTGAGCTCCAACCTGTGTAGATAACCGTGGT